CATGGCCTAGCCAAATTGACATATATTTTGGGGGGACACAATTCAATCCATGACACTTCTGAAATGCCCATTCTCTCTTGCTGCTTAGAATTGTATTGTCTCGTACTCAATCTCCTAGGTTATAAAAAGAATGTTACTGTACGGGGTCCAGCTGAGAATCACTGTAAGGCTTGCAGTATCTTGGCAATTTGACAGGTTAAAAAAAAAAGAAGAAGAATAAAGAGTGTCAAAGAGCAGCAGACTCACTTGTGACTTGATGGAAAATTTTTTGACAGTCTTGGGCTTATGGTATATACACTAATGATGCTGACAGTGTTTAGAGATTTATGAAAACCTTTTTTTGACCTGAACAAAAAACCCCAGAAAACCCTCTCTCTGGAACTGTGTGTTTTCCTACCTAGATGAAGGACTAAATGGCCAATTCAAAGTTTTTCCACTTCCAAGATTATGATCCACTTATACGTACAAGCATGATCAGAAAGGAAACTGCTGAGGATCTTTTGTGTTGTGGTGGAGGTGACAAGAAAGCAAGTCAATGCAATTTTGGGGTAACTCCGATCAACCCAAGGGTTTTTAATACCCAAATAAAATAGCTTGGGCCCCTGTTTCTGCCCAGGTGGGAAGTTTAGCACAGGCACAGGATTTTCAGGGATTTCCAGGGAGGCAGCTTCTCAGGTCATCCACCACTCTGACTCCCAGGTCACCTCTTTGTCTTGCCTCCTACACCTTTGCCCTCCATCTGTCCCACTTCACTCACACAAGGCTCTTGCTTCTCCTTCGTTCCCCGAGGTGGTTGTATGTAACAGACTTTGCTGAAGGTATGAGGGTAGTGGGGCCTGGCGGAGGGCTACAGCACAACCCAGGCCTGGCAATAATGACCAACACATCCCTGTTCCAGCTCCTCAGCTCTTGCCACCAGAGGAGACTTCATGCTGTATCTCCTCAGGCCACTTTTTGCTCAGGCCCTCTCTCCTGTACAACCCCCTCCCCCACAGCTCCTCTGCTTCAAATTCCAGGCCTTTTCCCCTCTTGGGGGATGTGGAAAGCTCGAATTCCAGGTAACCTTATGTGTAAAATAATATAACTTTCATCTCCATCCCGTTTTAGGGTCTAGGCACACTTTTGCCTTAAAAAAATAATTAAGAAGTTTTGTTAAACAAATGGGTAGCTGCCTCTGGTTAACTAGCCTGGCGATGTAACCCACAAGAAGAGGCAATTAAATTACCATTTTTTTCTTGAATACATCTCAGATAAAATTCTTTTTTTTTTTTTTTACAGCTTTTTTGAAAAAATTGTGATCAATATGTAGGTGACAAAACTTTTGACATCTCAGCGGTCTTCACATGCGGAGTTTAGTGACATTAATTATGTTCATCATGTTGTTCAACCTCAGATAATATTTTTAATCACGGCCCCCTCCTGCTCTAAGTGGAGAAACCCCAGGACACTGGGGGAGAGGAGAAGAGAAGGGAATCCTTCCTATGACCTTAGCTTTGACAGTGATCACCTTTGTCTCCTCAGGGGCTGCACTAAGGGGCAGGAGTCCTGGGTCCTGATTGCCCTCTGCCAGGAAGACAGATGCAGCTAAAGATGAATGTGGGAAAAGTAGCCGCATGCTGCTTTCACTATGGAGAAGCAGGCCCCCAGTGAGATGGGGATAATCTCGTCGGAGTCCCGCTCCCACATTAAATTGCTCATAATCAACCGGGAACTTCTGGTCACTCATATCCGCAACACTCAGTGCCTGCTGGACAACCTGCTGAAGAATGACTACTTCTCGGAGGAAGATGCAGAGATTGTGTGTGCCTGCCCCACCCAGCCTGACAAGGTGCCCAGGGGCGGGATTGGTGTCGACAGGATGTGGACCTTGGCGGCCGGAAGAGGGTTCTCCCCGTTGACCTGAGTGGAGAGCTCTGGGAACAGCTTCAGTACATTGGACAGAATTTCACTTTGGAGTCTTGATAGAACATAAATGCCTGGGTTGTTGGCTTATTACACAATTAAG